GTCTTAAGCTCGGGAGCACGATCGGACAGGCCAAGGTAACAAGATTGTATTCGATAGAGAGCTAAGCTCTCGGCTACGTAGCTATCTATATACAATGCTGGTTGCTAGGGTAACAATCGGGCCGGGCAGGTGGAGTAAACGAGGTCGTAGACGAGTATGGGAGGCGAAGGGCGTTCAGCCCGTTACACAGGCTTAGTAATACACTAAACTTAATTTAGTAACTTTGTCTTTAGAACTTAATATTTAATTCTAGAGGATTGCTAAAAATAGAAAAAAACATGTCACGTGATCTTCTATATATAGACTATCACATATCTCAAAACTAAGCCTTTTCAAGTAAGGACTATTGTTTTACAATAAATGAAATTTTTATCATTTTAGTCTCCTATATTCTATAATTTTTCTCCGCTCAGAGCTGCTGACTAAGCAGGAGGTGGGCTCACTATGCCAAACTAGGAGATCTTGGCTTTCCAGATCTGCAATCCGTTTATTTTTAGCTATTTTTTCTAGCTAGATATAAAAGTTTTAAAATAACAACTTTTTAAGTGACGTTTTTTTCGTGTCACCCCTCTGTAATAGCTGTAATAACTCCTTGTTGTAGGACTATTTCTTATAGGTATAGAAATCAATAGTTAGCCTCTCACCAGGCTTCTAATCATTTGTTCTTAGAGCGCGACTAATCTATTAGTAGATTTTTGCTCTCCCACACGCGTTGCACTGCACTGTCGTTATTCCCTTGATCCACACCCCCTTAGCTTGCTAGACTAGGTGCTCAATCGCTGCTGGCCCTAGGTGTCCTAGTCTCTTATACCAGAGGAGAGCAGGCGCCTGTTTAGGTCGCCGACGCGTTCGGGACGTGTGGGTGTGCGCGTGTAGGGCTACTCTATCTACTGATCCAGCCGGCTGGTGCTCCAGCACCCATTGCCCATATAGCTCTGCCAGCTCGCAGATAGTTGATCCGTCTGATCGCCTGATTGCTGTAGGGTTCGATTGGGTGTCCCACCAGATTCCTTGCTTTCTTAGTACTCTAAAGGAGACGATATTGTAGAGGATATCTAGGCAGATTGCTACATTGTGGAGCACGAGTTTCACTAGTGTCTGGTTGTGCTTCAGCTGGAGTATGATTGACCCATATCCTCTGATCTATATCTGGCTATTGCCTGCCTATATAAAGTCTCCTTAGATTGGTGGACGATAGTTATAGATCCAACTAGGGCTATTCGTGATATGACATGTTGATCCTAAGTCAAAGATAAAGGAGTTTCTTAATGGATATTCGCGGTGATCTAATATAGATATCGCGGAGAAACTGGCATTAATCTCTAAGATCTGTCGTCCAAATAGTTAGTTATTAGTTAAGTTTGGTATAGGGGTTTGAGATTGCTTAATAGCTGGAGTTCTTGTCCTTGGCCGACTTTGGGCTCTTAGGAGACTCTGAAATTCTAAGTCATTCGCTTTTCTAAGCTCAATTGATTCCCGAATAATCTGATTCGGCTTCCACTAACCAGGTGCCTTCTAATCTAAGTAGAAGCACTAGTAAAGTGCAGAGATGTCAACAATCAAGCCAAGCCAAGCTCCAGCTTGGCTTGCCTCAGCTTGATAGGCAAAAGCAAAACTGTCAGCTTGGCTTGGCTTGACTCAGCTTGGCTTGGTGTATCAAGCCAGCTTGATTGATGAGCTTGATGAGCTTGATGGTCATAGCGTCTTTTTCAAAGCTAGTTAAGTAGATAATATTAGCTATAGCTACAGCGACTATTCTTGGTGTTGAGTTTCGCTATCACTATTGATATCGCTATCCCACTTACTCAGCTCATACAACGTCTCTATACTATACATC